CAGGTTCAGCATGCTGAGGATGAGCTGGCGCAGGTCGGGGCTGTATCTATCCGATATAGGGGCAAACGTCCCACTCATGATCTTCAATACTAAGGCAGGAAGATTCTGGAGAGAAAATAAGAGAGAGGCATACAGTGGCTGGGCAGTCAGAGGTGAGGCCAAGGAGCAAGAAGTTCTCCGCACTGCCCTCTGCCTTCACACCTCCAGGCTCAGCGAGAAGAGTGATCCAAACATACATTTTCACCTTTGTAAGAGGCCACGGCTCCCTGCGCTATGTGTAAACCATTTCCCTCTTACCGCAGCTTCGAAAGCCCTCTTGAGGCTGGCGAGTTCATACAGCACACAGCCCAAAGCCCAGATATCACTCTTCTGGTTGTAAGGCTTCCCTTCACAGAGCTCTGGGGAGATGTAGCAAGGAGTTCCCACAACCTAGAAGAGACAAAGAAATTTACCAGGATGCTGTGAAACTGGGGCAGCGAGGTGGAAAGAGAAAGGCTCAATTTAGAGCCCAGTGCACAGGCTGGCTAGAGCACCACCAACCAAAGCTTAGTGGAGCTTTTGTTCCACTGACGTTGACATCTGCCTGACATTCTCAGTAAAAAACATGAGGATTTGCCTTTCCGGTGACCTCCCTTGCACGTACAGAGATTACCTCTAATTTTGCTCCTATCCACTTGAGAGAATCAGAGCCCAGAGCAACAAGCGTGATATAAACGTCTAGTCAGATTAGAGCAGGTGGGGAATGATACCCAAGTCTCAAGCAGAGAGAGGAGATTAAGACGAGGCAGGATGGTGGGGCACAGGCAGGAATTCAGTTGCCAAGTATGTGTCAGACGAGCGTACAAACACCACCCCTCCCACTGGAACAGTGAGAGGAACCCTGTCTACCCTCACCAGTGGGCCCAGACACCCAGGCTCTCCCCAGCTTGGCCAGGCAGGTCTTTGTCACCTTTTTGCAGTCCACAGAGCTGTAACAAACTTGGGCGTGAAGACATCAGCCTGGATAAACTCCAATAAGCAAAGCAGCATTGTGGCATGCGGATGTGACCTGCTGCAAATATGCTACATCCAACCTCACTGCCTACAGCAGCTTCCAAGAAACTACTGTGAGCCAAATCCAGAGTTTCCAGCCTCCTGCCATGGTGGTAAGTAGCTCCTCTGCAAAGCCAAGCCACCCACCGTGTAGGCTTTACTCTTGCTGCTCAAGATTTTGGAGATGCCAAAGTCTCCGATCTTGACAATCATGCGATGCTTGTCCAAGAGGATGTTCTGAGTCTTCAGGTCGCGGTGCAGAATCTGCTTGGTGTGCACGTGGTGAAGAGCCAAGAGGATCTGCACGAAGAAGTGCAGGATGGTATCCTCGTCCAGCAAGGAGTTACAGCGCTTATGAATAAACTCTGCTAGCGTGCCCCCTACAAAGAACAACAAAGGGCTATTGGCAAGGGTGGCTGCACAGGGCAGTGCAAACCCGGCCTAAAAGCCAGGGGATTTAGCCACGGTATCTTCACAAGCCAAGCGCATAGGAAAAAGTACGTCCTGGTGGGACATGCAGCACGTCCTCTAATGCTCCCAAGACTGTGCAGAGAACAATGGCAGCACAGTTGGTGGGACGAAGAAACAGCGAGAGAGAAGTTACTGTTGACATATTGTCAAAGGCAGCAGGAAAAGAAACACTAAAATTACAGCTCTTGGAGGAGGACATAAACCTCGATGGCAGAACAAGATAAGCCTGTTCTGCAAAAGAGAATTCTTGCAGTCCAAGAGGCCACGTGGCACGGAGAGGCCCCTATCGAAAAGGGAAGGTCCAGATTCAGGGCTCCCATACAACTTTTAACAAACCCTCATGCAAATGTTGATTTAATCTTAAACTCCACAGCAAATCTTGTTAGAAATCTCACCTTCCCACACAGAGCTATGGGACCAACAGCATTTCCAGGAGCTGACACAGGGAAATGTATGTGAAACCTAAGCCAAGGGCAGATGGTAGCACACTTATCAGCAACAGAGGTGTTAGAAATCTCTTTGTTTCGGATTAGTAGGCATAAGGCAAATAATCACAGAATGGCTGAGGTTGGAAGGGACCTCGGGAGGTCAGCTGGTCCAACCCCCTGCTCAAGCAGGGCCACCGACAGCTGGTTACCCAGAACCATGACCTGTCTTTTGAATATCTCCAAGGATGGTAACTCCACAGCCTCTCTGGGCAACCTGTGCCAGTGCTCAATCACTTGGCTCATGGTCAACTCGGTGTCCACCAGGACCCTCAGATGCTCTTCTGCGAAAATCGCTGTTCAAGAGAGATGTGTTTGGACCCTTTGGGGGTCCGAAGCACGTGAACTTTACAAGGACCACAACATGGGGCCACAGCAGCCTGACTCAAGGACAGCTGAGGGCTTGGCATCTCCTGGACCTGCCAAGGAACCAGCTAACAGGGGCTGGGGGAGACCAGGGCCCACCTGGGGCATACTCCATGGCGATCATGAGCGCCTTGTCCTCCAGGAAGTTCTCGTAGTACTCGATGACATTGGGGTGGCTGAGCAGCTTGAGGACCTGGCACTCGTTCTGCGCTGCCAGCCGTTCGTCCTTGCTCATCTGCTCCACCGGGATCTGCTTCAGGATCACCAGCTTCTGGTCGGCCTTGCGCAGGCACAGGTGCACGATGCTGTGGGATGGGGACAGGGCCTCAGCGGGCGGACAGGGCCTGGCCACCACCCTGGGGTGACACATGGCCTCTGCTCCCCATGTTGCCACGGTAACAGGGCCTGCAATCC